TTGGTTCCATAACAATGAGCAGAGCAGAGTGTAGATACAAATAGGCCACGTGTCCGCTTTATGAACCAAGACCTGGCAGTGTAAACCAGGCTTTTCAGATCTACTCGTCCTGATAAAATCATTTTAACTGAGAAGCTCCATTGGTGTCCTCTTCCTAAGCTGGCGTCTGAATTTCAACTGAAATAAATACTAGAGAAAACAACTTGTCTTTTACACGTTGCAGGGAGCTCAGTGTACAATAGTGTGAGTACTAGTTATTTAATAAACTCCCCTCTTCCTTCCAGGAACGCAATAGAAGAGGGAAAGGGAATATTTTATAACATAAAAAATTTTGTGCGGTTCCAGTTGAGCACGTAAGTTCCTGTTTGCTTTGGTTCCAGTGAGAGCACCTTTTGGGTGAGGCCACGCAGAGTAACGCTCTTCTGTGCTTTGCAGGAGCATTTCAGCTTTGAGCCTAATTACTCTGTCAACAGTGCTCAACCTACCCAACCCCCTCAATGCTATGCAGATCTTATGGATCAACATCATCATGGACGGGCCACCAGCCCAGAGGTATGGAAGAGTCAAATGTGCAAATTTTTCTTGGGTTTAATATGTCTGAATTTGGTTTAGGAATACAAGCCATTATGATTTTTTATCAACGTGCCAATCATTTCACAGAATCACAGAATCTTCATGGTTGGAAGGGACCTTTGAGATCGAGTCCAACAAAAAAAAAACCAAACACCAAAAACCGACAAAAAACCAATCAACCAACCAAACCAAACAAACAAACCCCAACAAAACAAACAAACAAACAAAAAACCCCAAACCAACAAAAAAAAACCAAACCCCAAACAACAAACGGACACAAACCAACAGTCTTGGGCACTAGAACATGCCCTGAAGTGCCACGTCTACACCATACCTGGAGGTATTTAAGAAATGTGACTCCATACAAGCCATTATGATTTTTTATCAACGTGCCAATCATTTCACAGAATCACAGAATCTTCATGGTTGGAAGGGACCTTTGAGATCATAGAGTCCAACAGAAAAAAACAACAACAAAAAAACCCAAACCAAACAAAACCAAAAAAACCATCAACCAACCAACCAAAGCAAACAAACAAACAAAAAAACCCCAAACCAACCAAAAAAAACCAAACCCCCAAACAACAAACAGACACAAACCAACAATCTCAGGCACAAGAGCATGCCCTGAAGTGCCACGTCTACACATTTCTTAAATACCTCCAGGGATGGCGACTCCACCACCTCCCTGGGCAGGCTGTTCCAATGCCTGACGACTCTCTCAGTAAAGTAATTCTTCCCAATATCTATTCCTAATATCTAATCTTCCTAATATCTAACCTAACCTCCCCTGCTGCAACTTTAGACCATTTGGTGGTTAGATAAGACAAGTTGTACTTTTGGTCCCTCCTGATCCCTCCAAAAGCATTTAATTCAAGTTTACTTGAAGGTTTACACTTTTTCACTACGCGCTGTCTGCTGTGTGGAGTGCATCACCTGCTGGTAGCCCTGCAGATCTGCCGGGCAAGGGAATACTGGGTACGTAAAGGGGCATATGCCCCAAAATCAAGACTTAGGAACCCCATCCACCTGCTACTTACAGCTACAGCTCACTACAATTACTGTTTCCACAACACAGAAGAGATGTTGGCCGCCATCTCAGAGCGAGCTCTCCCTCTGGTGTGGGATACCGGAATGATGCACAATTAATATATCATTTTAGCTGCTCATTATACAATAAAGACCTTTGTTGTAGGTGTCTCAGACAAATTGGGGGCCTCATGTAGCCTTGACAGAATACTCTCTGTCATGCTGTATTCCCTAGAGTTTAATCCACCAGATCCATCCTGGTTTATCAGCAATTTGGGGATGATCCACGTTAACTGAACACGTCTTTCTGCTTCTCTCTGGGGCAGTTTGGGAGTTGAGCCTGTTGACAGGGACACTATCAAACAGCCGCCCCGATGCATCACAGATACGATACTCAGCAAATCATTGATCCTGAAAATCTTCATGTCAGCTCTAATTATCATCAGCGGAACCCTCTTTGTCTTCTGGAAGGAGGTGAGGAAATCTGCAATCGTGTCTTGTTTTCATCAGGGTGGAGAACAAAGTGAAGGGCAGTTTCTGAAATACTTGTGAAGGACTTTCTGAAATGCATCAGGTGGGGAGGGATCAGCGTGGGCAGAGGGTTAAGAAACCAGGGTCAGTTTTAGCTCTGCTCCTGCCTTCCTCTTTTGCCTCTAATTCGGAGCTTCCTATCTAGAATGGGAAAACTATTACTTGATACGATATCAGTGTGTTGAGGTACTTTTCACCTCTACCTTTCCATGTAAGTAGAAAATATCAAGTACGTAAATACTATGGATTGCTGTTAGTAAATAATGATTGTTACTATAAAAGTTTAAGTGATTTAATTTTGAATATTCTTTACTCAAATTCCGCATCAGTTTAAGAATTTAAAATATGGTTGATCAGATCCTAAACCCAAAAATTAGCAGAGAGAAATTAATGCTAGCTGTAATGGTTAGAACTAGATTTATTCCTTTGTTTTACTACCCTTCGAATCATCGGGGGTCATTAAAGGGAGTATTTAATTCATCTGTTGAATTGACATATTTTTCAAGGCTTAACTAACCCCTGAATTTTTACCTGTGGTTTCAGAATCCCAAAAGTGGCATAACTCCTCGAACCACAACAATGACTTTTACCTGTTTTGTGTTTTTTGACCTCTTCAACGCCCTGACGTGCCGCTCTCAGGTGAGATTGCTCTGTCAGCAAAACACTAACATAAACATTAGAATACTAGAATTTTGCTTAGGAAAGGATTTTTTTTTTTTTTAAATGTCACTTAAAGCAGCATTTTTATCATTGTTATTTATGAAGTTATCAATCATAATTCCACTGCAAGTACACTTTCAACTATGTATTTCTGCCTAAATTACCAGTCGTGTAACTTCAAGAAGTAATGGAATTTACATGCAAGGAAACTGTGAGGTGTTCGAGTACCAACAGGACACTGGGAAATGTTAAGTTTCTCTTTTTTTTTTTTTCTTTTCCCTTCTCTAGACAAAGCTGATATTTGAAATAGGCTTTTTTCGAAACCGCATGTTCTTATATTCTGTGCTTGGGTCATTTTTGGGCCAGCTGGCTGTTATATACGTCCCTCCATTACAAAAAATCTTCCAGACAGAGAACTTAGGAGTGTTGGGTAAGTTGCAAAATAAATAACGGTTGGTTTTTGTGGTGTTTTTTTTTAAGCTGCTTGAAAAAACAGACAAGGTTGCCAAATTGTTGCACGATAGCTCCCAACAGATTGCTGGTGGGGGAAATCAATCAACAGCTCCCATACCTCTATACATGCACATAGCTATACACAAATAGTAGTAGCATTTAATGATGTTATTCCAGCCTAGGTTTTGAATTTTGATTTACTGCACATAAATGCATGTAAATGGAGACATGCTGAGATTTTTCCACAAGCTCTGTATGATGGTATTTCTTTACATAAATCTACCTGGGATCATTATGCACTCGCTGCATTTTGAAGAAGGGGGGTAAATGTTTCCTAGCTGAAAGGCAATGCATATTTTACCATCTGAATCAGTCTCGCCAAGCTCTACCCCACCGCGCTGTGTCACATCTATGCCAGGCGTGCTGTTGGAGGCAGGGTTCAGGCATCACAAAGGATTAATGTAGAGGTCACCACCCATCAGATGGACTATACCAACTGACTGTATGGCTATTCCTTGTCTATCACTCTCATCTCTCTAATTCCGCAGTAAGCAAAAGTCCTGCTGGGTTGTACATCTGTGCAGTTACACCAGCACAAGTGTCTTCTGCAGGAAGGCCCTTATCTGGGGACTCCTGCCCAGCCCAGAGCCCAGCTCTTTGCTGTGTTTATCTCTGCTCTGTTTCCTCTTGGCAGACCTGCTCTTCCTCACCGGACTGGCTTCCTCCGTTTTCGTTGTGTCCGAGTTTGTCAAGTTCTGTGAAAAACGCTGCTGCCAACCAAAGCCCACAAAGGGAGGCCATAACTGATGTGAACCTCCTCTAAGGATGCGCTTGGAACGGAGCCGTGAGGCTGGATAATCCAAACACACCACTTTCTGAGGATACTGCAGTGAATCTGTCCCACCGGTCCTTCCTTCTCCAGAGTCTGTTCCTTCTACACGCTCCACCCAACCCGTCTGAGCTGCCCACAGAAACCTCCAGAAGTGGCTCCTGTTTTAAACCAAGGTATATTTTTCTGATGTTGAGCTCTGTGTCGAGAATGCTGCGATAGTCCCAGGCAAAATAACACAGTTTCCCACCTGTACAGAAAAAAAATCTATTTTGCATAAACTGAAATTTTATTTATTTTAAATCAAAATGATTTTTATTAATAAAATCTACATCTTAAAACGTTACAGATAAGTATCTGAATGAGACTGTTGATTTAGACCCGTCCTTTTATATTAAATTAAACAAATGGAAAAGACCCGCATTCACCAGCGCTTCTTTTCCTACAACATGTAGTGTTTCTGCATTCCCAGATGCCTGGCCTTGATTCAGCAAGATTCCTGGGGAAACTGTGGGGAGATGTCAAACCAAAAGCAGCAAGTAAAAGTGCCAAGCTGTCAGCTGTTGGCTTCTGCCAAACACTGCAGTGATTTTGTTGTACCTGTATGATGAACAGGAGCAAAGTGGGGGGCTGCCCTGATCTGTTGTGATGCACGGTGGTGGAGGGACTTAATGGGGACAGGGACTCACTTCCACAAGCACGTGAGACTAATGATGACCTGGGGACATAGCAGGGATATTAAGCTTTGCAGTTGGATCAACAGCTGCATAAAAGTGATTGAGAGATCATAGCTGTTTAGATCATGTTTAGATCATAGCTAAGCTCACTGCTGACAAACACCTTCCCAACATTTTCAGATGCGTAAGAATGAAGCACAGATTGCTTAATCATTAGGTTACAAAAAAAAAAAAAAAAACACAGGCTTTGCAGAGGGCTGGTGCCGTTGTGTCCATGACAGGAGATGGTGTTAACGATGCCGTGGCCCTTAAATCTGCTGATATTGGGATTGCAATGGGACAAGCTGGTACAGACGTCAGCAAAGAGGCTGCCAACATGATCCTCGTGGACGATGACTTCTCGACAGTAATGTAAGTTTAGCAATTTTCTTACTATCAGACACTTTCTTACTTCGGGTACTTTCTGGCTACCCATTGCACAAGTCTGTCGAGTGACTGGCCCTGGAAATAACACAAGTCAACAGGCAGCATGTGGAGATACCTGGTGATGGCTCTGGCTCGTTTTTAGTTGCATACACAGCAATGACTTATTTGTTTCAAGTGCAGTGACAAAGCTGCCTTTCATCCACAAGCCCTGGTTTCTCATTGCTGGAGTTAACCAGGGATTTGAAAGCGCCCAGAAGTCTGGGTGGATGGTAACTTGTGCTCTCTGCCTCCTTCAGGAGGCGCAGAGGAAAGACATCGTTTGCGATGCTCTGTTGGTTCATAACAATGAGCAGAGCAGAGTGTAGATACAAATAGGCCACGTGTCCGCTTTATGAACCAAGACCTGGCAGTGTAAACCAGGCTTTTCAGATCTACTCGTCCTGATAAAATCATTTTAACTGAGAAGCTCCATTGGTGTCCTCTTCCTAAGCTGGCGTCTGAATTTCAACTGAAATAAATACTAGAGAAAACAACTTGTCTTTTACACGTTGCAGGGAGCTCAGTGTACAGTAGTGTGAGTACTAGTTATTTAATAAACTCCCCTCTTCCTTCCAGGAACGCAATAGAAGAGGGAAAGGGAATATTTTACAACATAAAAAATTTTGTGCGGTTCCAGTTGAGCACGTAAGTTCCTGTTTGCTTTGGTTCCAGTGAGAGCACCCTTTGGGTGAGGCCACGCAGAGTAACGCTCTTCTGTGCTTTGCAGGAGCATTTCAGCTTTGAGCCTAATTACTCTGTCAACAGTGCTCAACCTACCCAACCCCCTCAATGCTATGCAGATCTTATGGATCAACATCATCATGGACGGGCCACCAGCCCAGAGGTATGGAAGAGTCAAATGTGCAAATTATTCTTGGGTTTAATATGTCTGAATTTGGTTTAGGAACACAAGCCATTGTGATTTCTTATCAACGTGCCGATCGTTTCACAGAATCACAGAATCTTCATGGTTGGAAGGGACCTTTGAGATCATAGAGTCCAACAGAAAAAAACAACAACAAAAAAACCCAAACCAAACAAAACCAAAAAAACCATCAACCAACCAACCAAAGCAAACAAACAAACAAAAAAACCCCAAACCAACCAAAAAAAACCAAACCCCCAAACAACAAACAGACACAAACCAACAATCTCAGGCACAAGAGCATGCCCTGAAGTGCCACGTCTACACATTTCTTAAATACCTCCAGGGATGGCGACTCCACCACCTCCCTGGGCAGGCTGTTCCAATGCCTGACGACTCTCTCAGTAAAGTAATTCTTCCCAATATCTATTCCTAATATCTAATCTAAACCTCCCGGGCCGCAACTTTAGACCATTTGGTGGTTAGATAAGACAAGTTGTACTTTTGGTCCCTCCTGATCCCTCCAAAAGCATTTAATTCAGGTTTACTCGACTTAGGAACCCCATCCACCTGCTACTTACAGCTACAGCTCACTACAGTTACTGCTTCCACAACACAGAAGAGATGTTGGCCACCATCTCAGAGCGAGCTCTCCCTCTGCTGTGGGATACCGGAATGATGAACAATTAATATATCATTTTAGCTGCTCATTATACAATAAAGACCTTTGTTGTAGGTGTCTCAGACAAATTGGGGGCCTCATGTAGCCTTGACAGAATACTCTCTGTCATGCTGTATTCCCTAGAGTTTAATCCACCAGATCCATCCTGGTTTATCAGCAATTTGGGGATGATCCACGTTAACTGAACACGTCTTTCTGCTTCTCTCTGGGGCAGTTTGGGAGTTGAGCCTGTTGACAGGGACACTATCAAACAGCCGCCCCGATGCATCACAGATACGATACTCAGCAAATCATTGATCCTGAAAATCTTCATGTCAGCTCTAATTATCATCAGCGGAACCCTCTTTGTCTTCTGGAAGGAGGTGAGGAAATCTGCAATCGTGTCTTGTTTTCATCAGGGTGGAGAACAAAGTGAAGGGCAGTTTCTGAAATACTTGTGAAGGACTTTCTGAAATGCATCAGGTGGGGAGGGATCAGCGTGGGCAGAGGGTTAAGAAACCAGGGTCAGTTTTAGCTCTGCTCCTGCCTTCCTCTTTTGCCTCTAATTCGGAGCTTCCTATCTAGAATGGGAAAACTATTACTTGATACGATATCAGTGTGTTGAGGTACTTTTCACCTCTACCTTTCCATGTAAGTAGAAAATATCAAGTACGTAAATACTATGGATTGCTGTTAGTAAATAATGATTGTTACTATAAAAGTTTAAGTGATTTAATTTTGAATATTCTTTACTCAAATTCCGCATCAGTTTAAGAATTTAAAATATGGTTGATCAGATCCTAAACCCAAAAATTAGCAGAGAGAAATTAATGCTAGCTGTAATGGTTAGAACTAGATTTATTCCTTTGTTTTACTACCCTTCGAATCATCGGGGGTCATTAAAGGGAGTATTTAATTCATCTGTTGAATTGACATATTTTTCAAGGCTTAACTAACCCCTGAATTTTTACATGTGGTTTCAGAATCCCAAAAGTGGCATAACTCCTCGAACCACAACAATGACTTTTACCTGTTTTGTGTTTTTTGACCTCTTCAACGCCCTGACGTGCCGCTCTCAGGTGAGATTGCTCTGTCAGCAAAACACTAACATAAACATTAGAATACTAGAATTTTGCTTAGGAAAGGATTTTTTTTTTTTTTAAATGTCACTTAAAGCAGCATTTTTATCATTGTTATTTATGAAGTTATCCATCATAGTTCAACTGCAACTACACTTTCAACTATGTAGTTCTGCCTAAATTACCAGTTGTGTAACTTCAAGAAGTAATGGAATTTACATGCAAGGAAACTGTGAGGTGTTCGAGTACCAACAGGACACTGGGAAATGTTAAGTTTCTCTTTTTTTTTTTTTTTTTTCCCTTCTCTAGACAAAGCTGATATTTGAAATAGGCTTTTTTCGAAACCGCATGTTCTTATATTCTGTGCTTGGGTCATTTTTGGGCCAGCTGGCTGTTATATACGTCCCTCCATTACAAAAAATCTTCCAGACAGAGAACTTAGGAGTGTTGGGTAAGTTGCAAAATAAATAACGGTTGGTTTTTGTGGTGTTTTTTTTTAAGCTGCTTGAAAAAACAGACAAGGTTGCCAAATTGTTGCACGATAGCTCCCAACAGATTGCTGGTGGGGGAAATCAATCAACAGCTCCCATACCTCTATACATGCACATAGCTATACACAAATAGTAGTAGCATTTAATGATGTTATTCCAGCCTAGGTTTTGAATTTTGATTTACTGCACATAAATGCATGTAAATGGAGACATGCTGAGATTTTTCCACAAGCTCTGTATGATGGTATTTCTTTACATAAATCTACCTGGGATCATTATGCACTCGCTGCATTTTGAAGAAGGGGGGTAAATGTTTCCTAGCTGAAAGGCAATGCATATTTTACCATCTGAATCAGTCTCGCCAAGCTCTACCCCACCGCGCTGTGTCACATCTATGCCAGGCGTGCTGTTGGAGGCAGGGTTCAGGCATCACAAAGGATTAATGTAGAGGTCACCACCCATCAGATGGACTATACCAACTGACTGTATGGCTATTCCTTGTCTATCACTCTCATCTCTCTAATTCCGCAGTAAGCAAAAGTCCTGCTGGGTTGTACATCTGTGCAGTTACACCAGCACAAGTGTCTTCTGCAGGAAGGCCCTTATCTGGGGACTCCTGCCCAGCCCAGAGCCCAGCTCTTTGCTGTGTTTATCTCTGCTCTGTTTCCTCTTGGCAGACCTGCTCTTCCTCACCGGACTGGCTTCCTCCGTTTTCGTTGTGTCCGAGTTTGTCAAGTTCTGTGAAAAACGCTGCTGCCAACCAAAGCCCACAAAGGGAGGCCATAACTGATGTGAACCTCCTCTAAGGATGCGCTTGGAACGGAGCCGTGAGGCTGGATAATCCAAACACACCACTTTCTGAGGATACTGCAGTGAATCTGTCCCACCGGTCCTTCCTTCTCCAGAGTCTGTTCCTTCTACACGCTCCACCCAACCCGTCTGAGCTGCCCACAGAAACCTCCAGAAGTGGCTCCTGTTTTAAACCAAGGTATATTTTTCTGATGTTGAGCTCTGTGTCGAGAATGCTGCGATAGTCCCAGGCAAAATAACACAGTTTCCCACCTGTACAGAAAAAAAATCTATTTTGCATAAACTGAAATTTTATTTATTTTAAATCAAAATGATTTTTATTAATAAAATCTACATCTTAAAACGTTACAGATAAGTATCTGAATGAGACTGTTGATTTAGACCCGTCCTTTTATATTAAATTAAACAAATGGAAAAGACCCGCATTCACCAGCGCTTCGTCCTTTTGTATTACGTTAAACGAATGGAAAAGACCCGCATTCACCAGCGCTTCTTTTCCTACAACATGTAGTGTTTCTGCATTCCCAGATGCCTGGCCTTGATTCAGCAAGATTCCTGGGGAAACTGTGGGGAGATGTCAAACCAAAAGCAGCAAGTAAAAGTGCCAAGCTGTCAGCTGTTGGCTTCTGCCAAACACTGCAGTGATTTTGTTGTACCTGTATGATGAACAGGAGCAAAGTGGGGGGCTGCCCTGATCTGTTGTGATGCACGGTGGTGGAGGGACTTAATGGGGACAGGGACTCACTTCCACAAGCACGTGAGACTAACGATGATCCGGGGACACAGCAGGGATGTGAAGCTTTGCAGTGGGATCAACAGCCACATAGAAGTGATTGAGAGATGATTGAGATCATAGCTAAGCTCACTGCTGACAAACAGGGGACAGGGACTCACTTCCACAAGCACGTGAGACTAACGATGATCCGGGGACACAGCAGGGATGTGAAGCTTTGCAGTGGGATCAACAGCCACATAGAAGTGATTGAGAGATGATTGAGATCATAGCTAAGCTCACTGCTGACAAACACCTTCCCAACATTTTCAGATGCGTAAGAATGAAGCACAGATTGCTTAATCATTAGGTTACACAAAAAAAAAAAAAAAATCTCAAAACTGGATTACATTTCAGATTCATACCCTAGAAGGAACCAGCTATACTAATACTTATTTTAAATCAAAGAAAACCTGGCTGCTCAAATGGTTTTCAGTGAAGAGTAGTTTTGTGCAATTCACCCTCCCCAGATAGAGTCTGCAATGGTGTGTGCACAGGATTTTTTTAAAAAATCCTTGCAAATTGTTTCAGTCCTCAAAAAAACCCACAAGTCTCTGCCTTATAATGGAAGGAAAAGAAAGTCTAAGTTGTTTATTTTATGAGTAACTGAAGAAATGCTTTCAGTCCTCAAAAAAACCCCAAGTCTCTGCCTTGTAATGGAAGGAAAAGAAAGTCTAGTTGTTTATTTTATGAGTAACTGAAGAAATTCAACTGTCTCCTGTATGCCACTCACTTCAAGTATTTAGCACGCTGAGTCAGTGCCTAAGTGAAGAAAACCTCTGAGAATTATGGTGGGAGTTTGTTAAAACAAAAGCCAGCATCACCGCACTTACAGAGAACACGTACTTGCTGTCTCTATAGCACTCCCTACTTGGGACCATTTAAAATTCTTATTGAAATACACAGAGAAGAAAATAATGCAGAAGTATCTGTTTTATTGTCTTAATGCTTTCATTTTTTCTATATTACAAACTAGGGGGACTATCTGGTTTGTTTTGCACTTAGAGAGAACACGTACTTGCTGTCTATATAGCACTCCCTACTTTGGACCATTTAAAATTTTTATTAAAATACACAGAGAAGAAAATTACGCAGAAGTATCAGTTTAATTTGTTTTAATGCTTTCATTTTTTCTATGTTACAAACTAGGGGGACTATCTGGTTTGTTTAAGCAAATACAAGACAAAAAGACATGAGCTCAGGCCTTTCCCAGCATACTCTGTACTGGGACAAATGGCATCTATCCCCCAATCAGTACTTCAGGCAGCACACAAAACGCACAGCTGACTTCTGGGGTGTCTGGCTGAAGTGATTTCTTCATGCTGTTCCTTTCAAGGCTAAAGTCATGTTGTTTAATAATTTTTTTTTTAAATGGGATTTACATTAAGGCACAAGTGCAGACCATTCAGAATATTCAAATCTGGCTCCCTATGAAAAACATTGGGTAGAAAAAAAAAAAGACTACATACAAGAAAATGCTAAGGGAAAGAATCTGAAGGAAGGCCCACGTGATCAGGAATTGCAGTAACTTCATAGACTGTTACAGCACATTCTTTGCTCTAAACTGCACAGAGGATGAACTCCTGGAAGCACAAAGGGGATGGGGTACAGTCCTTCTCCTTAGGAGGAGAAAGACTGACCACTGAACATGCTAATAACCAAACACAATTCACTGAGTTAGAAATGACAGTCCCTGGTAGAAATTAGGGTTATTTTTGACAAGTTAATTACATACATAGAATTAGCAAGGTCAAACTAATAATTAGTCATAGACGTGCAGGGGTTCGAGTAGAAAATGCCCTGAGTAAGAGAGACCTGACAAAATCAGCATTGACTGAACAGCCAACAAAACAGAGCAAAAACTCCAACCCACTAATTACATTTCACATCGCGGGCGGTTTTTTCCATAATACAGTAATGATTAATTGCATGGGAGTAAAGTGTACAGCATTCTTCTTTCAACATGTTACAGACATAACCCTGATTTCTTTTGTTGTTTTTTTTAGAAGATATTTGCAGTTACTGTTCCCAGTTCACTGTGGATGCTTCATACTTTATCCTTTTTACAGCCTGATCTTTTACTCCCGTCTTAAGCGAGGCCAGAACAGAAGGTACCTTCCCTAGAGAATTTCTGCTGGAGGTACAGCCCCTTCTTAGGATAAGTGTGGCTGAATGACTCCCAATGGCTCTGTTCTGTAAGTTTAAAAAGCAGTAGGCAAATTTCTGCAGAAACCTCTTAAGTGAAATGCACTAAGGTGTAGTGTAGTATTGTAAAACTGGATACTGTACACTGAGCATTCTGTACATCTTACAGCCCATACAGAGCCACTTGCTGAAGGTCTGACTTAGAAAACGTGAAAATTAATGCTTTAACTGGAGCAATGCAAATTAATAGCATCATTCATACAAAATCACCGGGACTATTCTGTTTACCAATGTAGGACATCGTTACAGTTTGCAAGCTTCACTGACTAATTCCAGTGCATGCAAATAAATATTTGGAGTTGAGGTATAAGAGCCTTAATCAGTGTCTTGAACAGTCTTTATATAAATACATATTAATTTCCCAAGTCAGTAAGCCGTACTGTCAATATCTTTGTCTTTTGCTTTTAATTCTGTATGCAGACAGGATCTATCAGGAATGCCAGCAAATTCATATTCAGCTAGAACTTAGGGATATCTAATAATTAAGTAACTAGTTAATTTTTCTGTCCTCCCCCCATAAAAATACAGGCAGGATATTGTATTGGACCTAAATAGTACATAATTACAAGGTTTAACTTTGTCCCAGATAATTAAATAGATGTAAGGGAAAAAATGAGGAAAATATATTCTGTCCAAGGAATATTAACACACAGGCGAAAAAAATAAGCTGTTTTCATGTTACTGCAATTCTTCTAGTTATCATCATCCTCGTCCTCTTCAATGGGTTCTCGCAGACCTTCACTCTGACGACTTTTTCCAGCCATTTCTAATAAGGCCTGAGCCTCGGGGTCTACGTCCAGGATACTCTTCTTACCTTTTGTCTTCAAAACAAAATAAAATATAGTCAAATTTAAAATGTCATTATGAACAAATCAATATCAGGCTACAAGAAAGAGACATACTCAAAAGCCCACAACTAATCTGGTTTGCCAGCTTGTCACAATGAAGCAGATACACTTTCCAAGGAAGGCATTTAAGATTCACTGGGATACATCAAATGATTTTTACTGCTGCAGTTACACAAAACAGTCATAAACTTCTCCTAAGATGGTAGTGGACTATTTCAGGGTAATTCAGGTTACCAGCCAGCCAGAACATCCTGGTTAACTTGACCTCAGTTTGAAGTGCAGAAGTGAACTTTTTTAATAAAGAAGAGATCCAAGTACAATTCAACATTTTCGGTAAACAATTTGTTCTGTTTCTATTTAGAGCTATGTGTCCTCTGAACAGACAGAGCACATCAATTTAGTATGAAAAGAAATATTTTTTTTTTTTAAAAAAACCTAAACACCAAAATGGGCAAACCAGACAGTTTAATAAGAGGATAGATTATAGGGACAGAGGAGATTGGAAAGAGGTCTCCTGCTCGTTCCCAGAAACAAACCAGGTGCAGAAAGAGTAGCATAAATCTATTGATGTAAATTTACTGTAAAACTATGGTAAATTTGAAGTTCCTGACAAAGAAATCTTTTGGGTTCTCTTCCTGAATTGTAGATGAGGCTTTACTCGAGAGCTTCCAGTGCTTGCTTTCTGTTTTACTGAACCCCTCCAAAGAGGTTCCTTCTAGAGACTGTTCCTAGATCTCAGAGAGGCCTTTTTGAAATTCAGAGGTAAAAATGGCTTTTCTGACTCTACCATTTGACAGCTCCTGATGTTATTTCTTGTCAGCACCCTCAATAATTCCACTACTGTTTTGCCATTTACTTGCTCCAAAATATACGGCCAGTTAAAGAAAACATTATTCATTACAATTAACAGACAGCGTTTAACCAGAAAACTGCAAGTTTTGCATTTGCCTCTCCTGTTCCAACCAGGACACACTTTCACAGGTTTTCAGTTTTGTTCACCTACCCCTGCACTTTCCGGGAGGTCTCCCACTGCCCAAACTTCCATGGCATCCAGTGCAAACTCCTCCTTCGCCGACAGCTGGGGACTGTTGTAGGTGGTACATCGAGGTTTGGCTTTACTGTGCCCCTTCCCGTAGTCGCTGTCTATCCAGAGCCCGAAGTAGCCGTGCTGCCCCCCCATGCCCTGCGGACAGAAGCAGCACAGGGAGGACTTGCTGCAGGTGTAAAACAGACTGAGCAAGTTACCAAACCTAGAGTATAAATTGCTACTTTCAGTATTTATGCCGCACTTCTGTGGGTAGTGAAAAAGGGTATTGTAAGTGAACCTGGGCTTCTGTACCAAAATCCAGTGTTCCTGAAGACAAGGATTTACCAGAGTGATGCTGCCCCCCCTCTACACTCTATGGAATACCAGTATCTGCAAGCACTTCAGCTGTGTCTTGTACCAGAAATTTAGCTCACTGGCTTTTGTTTATGAATTACCAGTTCCATTTTTAAAAGGGTGAAAGTGTTCAGTTTTGCAGCCTCTCTTCCATTT